ACAGTGTCTTTTTAGGAAAATGCATCTAAAGTAGGGAGAGCTGATGCAGTTCATCACCAAAGTGTATCTCTGTGTGTGTGCATGTGTCTGTCTTTCCATTCATCTTCCATCTATAGCTATCATTTATCTATTAATCACATTTGTAAGTTGCACATTCAGAACAATTTTGAACTTAATATAAAAAAATCTGTACAATAATCAAAATCATAAAAAGGGAAAGGACAAGAGACGTCCAAACAGAGATACAGTAAGAACGGAACCATCCCACCATGGTTCCACACTGTATCTTAGCTCAACACTTAAGCCTGGATTAGACTTCTTTATTGCTGCAGGTCAGGGAATGTACGCATCTGTCATTTGGGGATGGTTGCATAGATGTTACATTTATATTTGTGCAAATGTAACATTCTGGCTAGCGGGCGCTCAAACAACAAGGCACACAACAGGAAGTTGGATTAACAAATCAGCCTCTACACAACCCGTAGGATGTGTACCTCCACACAATCCGCAGTTGGGATTTGAGAGGTCTGCACGTTGGCCTGTCTGCAGCTATCTGCAGCCTACGCTTACCCATGAACCCCTTTGCAGCATAGATATCTGGCAATACCTACATACAATTGTGGGTAGCTCTAAACTAGGGTTCTCAACTGGGGATGTTTGCACCCCCTGGGGGTACGAGATGATATACCAGGGGGTGCAAAAACTTGGTTTTTCAAAATTATAGTGTATATGCATAATTAGTTGCCATTATTTTGAACTTTTGTATGGGGTGCGAGAATATATCAGAAGCGTTCTAGGGGCGCGGGGTATAGAAAAGGTTGGGAGCCACTGCTCTAAATCAAGCTGAAGGGAAGGGACCTCATCTAAAGGGAGGCTCATCTAAAAGAGAGCAGGAGTGGGCTCTTTTGGATCTCTGGGAGCCTGCTGTTCAGAGGGCAGATGCCATAGCAAGAAGGCACATTTGCTGGATCTCATCAGATGGCATTGTTTAATAGGTGGATATGAAGCGTGAAAACTCTATCAAATCATACTGGATGTGCAGACACTATAGGTTGATCTCTCAGGTAACGAGGTCTTGTATCATGAAGAGTTTCATAGATGACAACTAACAATTTGAATTGCACCTTGAAGCCTACAGATAATTATGGTAGCTTATGTGGCAAAAGTATTATATGGACACATAGTAATGGGGGACTTTAACTACCCTGACATCAACTGGGAGACAAACTCCGCACCAAGTGGAAGATCAAACAGGTTCCTGGCAAACCTAGCAGACAACTTTGTCTCCCAAAAAGTAGAGAAGGGAACTAGGGGATTAGCCATTTTGGATCTAATTCTCACTAACAGAGATGAAATGATAGACGGTGTTGAAGCCATAGGAACCCTGGGAGGAAGTGATCATGCAATATTAGAATTCAACATTATAGAAGCACAACCAATAGAACACAGTCAAACTAGAGTCTTGGACTTCAAGAGAGCTAATTTCAATAAACTTAGAGAGGGCTTGGGAAGGATTCCATGGATGAGAATCCTCAAGGGGAAAACAACTCAAGAAGCTTGGGAAATTTTGAAAAATGAGATAATAAAAGCACAGTCTAGCACAATACCAACAAAGAGGAAAAATAACAGCTCTCAAAAGAAACCAGCATGGCTGCATAAAGAACTCTCTGACAAATTGAAAGATAAAAAGGACAAGTATAGAAAGTGGAAAGAGGGGAACATAACTAAGTCAGAATATCAGCAAATAGCCCGAGCCTGCAAAGATGAAGTGAAGAAAGCCAAGGCTCAAAATGAACTAAGGCTTGCGACCAAAGTCAAAAATAACAAAAAAAGCTTCTTTCAACATGTAAAAAACAAGAAAAAAGTGAAGGAAATGATTGGTCCATTAGTGGGTGGAAGTGGCAAGAAGGTGACAAGCAACAGGGAGAAAGCAGAACTATTTAACTCATTTTTTGCATCTGTCTTTACACAAAGGGAAAAAACAGACCAACCTATCAAAAATAGTGCCATAAAAAACAAAACAGAAACACAAGTTAAGATAGGCAAGAAAATGGTTAGGGAGCACCTGTCCAGCCTAGATGAGTTCAAATCGCCAGGAACAGATGGATTACACCCCAGAGTTCTCAAGGAACTGGCAGATGTGATATCGGAGCCACTGAACTATATTTTTCAAAGATCCTGGAACACAGGGGAACTACCAGAGGACTGGAAAAGAGCTGATGTAGTTCCCATCCTCAAAAAAGGAAAAAAAATGGATCCAGGAAATTACAGACCTATTAGCCTGACCTCAATACCTGGGAAGATCCTGGAAAAGATAATCAAACAATGAATCAACGAACACCTAGAGGCAAACAAAGTCATTACTAAAAGCCAACATGGGTTTGTCAAAAATAGATCATGCCAGACAAATCTTATTGCATTCTTTGACCAAGTGACAAAATTAGTGGATCAGAGGAATGCTGTGGACATAATTTACTTGGACTTCAGTAAGGCATTTGATAAAGTAGATCACAACCTACTACTTGACAAGATAGAAAAATGTGGGGTAGACAGAACCACCACCAGATGGATCCGTAGCTGGCTGACCGGCCGTACTCAGCGAGTGGTCCTCAATGGAACTGCATCTATATGGAGGGAAGTGTGTAGTGGGGTGCCCCAGGGCTCTGTTCTGGGCCCAGTACTCTTCAACATCTTCATCAACGATTTGGATGAAGGGATAGATGGGGAACTCATCAAATTTGCAGATGACACCAAGCTGGCAGGAATAGCCAACACTCCAGAAGACAGGCTTCAGGTACAGAAGGATCTGGACAGACTTGAACACTGGGCACTAACTAACAAAATGAAATTCAATGGTGAAAAAAGCAAGGTTCTACATTTAGGCAAGAAAAACCAAATGCACAAGTACAGCATAGGTGGCACCATGCTCAATAGTAGTAACTGTGAGAGGGACCTCGGAGTCCTAGTAGACAATCAGTTAAATATGAGCCAGCAGTGTGCGGCAGCTGCCAAAAAGGCCAACACAGTGCTAGGCTGCATTAACAGAGGGATAGAATCAAGATCACGTGAAGTATTAATACCACTCTTCAATGCCTTGGTAAGGCCACACTTGGAATATTGCATCCAGTTTTGGTCACCACGATGTAAAAAAGATGTTGAGACTCTAGAAAGAGTACAGAGAAGAGCAACAAAGATGATTAGGGGACTGGAGGCTAAAACATATAAGGAACGGTTGCGAGAATTGGGTATGTCTAGTTTAACGAAGAGAAGGACAAGGGGGGACATGATAGCAGTATTCCAATATCTCAGGGGCTGCCATAAAGAAGAGGGAATTAAGCTATTTTCCAAAGCACCTGAAGGCAGGACAAGAAGCAACGGGTGGAAACTAATCAAGGAGAGAAGCAACCTAGAACTAAGGAGAAACTTCCTGACAGTGAGAACAATTAATCAGTGGAACAGCTTGCCTCCAGAAGCAGTAAATGCTCCAACACTGGAAGTTTTTAAGAAGAGACTGGACAGCCATTTGTCCAAAATGGTGTAGGGTTTCCTGCCCGAGCAGGGGGTTGGACTAGATGACCTCCAAGGTCCCTTCCAACTTTAATATTATTATTATTATTATTATGATATGCCCATAATGACTCATGTGACTACATTTTGGACCACTTGAAGTTCTTTGAAGGATAGTTAAGAGCAGCCCCATGTAGAGCATATTGACATAATCCGTAAAGCAGTGGCCTTATGTTGTCCTCTTTCCTCCTCCTCTTGTTATTTTGGAACTTTATATTTAATTGCCTAATGTTTGTTTCTAACTTAGTTTTCTAGTTTTCTTTGAGTAGAAGTGTGAACAGCTTCCTTAATGTATAATATTGTTTACTTCCAGCCATATATAGTAGTGTAGTAATGATCTGCTGGGAGAAAAATACTTTTGGTTGTCTCTAACTTTAGGGGCAGATGTTCTACGGATAAATTAATATGCCAGACCCTTATGTTGTTCTGTCATAGTTCCTTTAAATCAGTTTCTTTTATTGAACTCAGTATGAAAACTTATTTTGATTGAATTGTACTTTAAACATTAGATTTATGTGATGCCTTCCAGAGAGCAAAATCTATAAAAAACTAATAAACCGTATTTTCTACAAGGATACCACTCTCTCTTATTCTCAGTATGTATACATACAACAGAGAGAGAGAGAGAGAAAGAGAGAGAAAGAGAGAGAGAGAGAGAGAGAGAGAGAGAGAGAGAGAGAGAGAGAGAGAGAGAGTCTTCGAACTTATGACCACAACTGGGACTGGAACTTTTGTTGCTAAATGAGGTGGTAATTAAGTGAAACTTTTTTGCCATGGTTGTTAAATGAATCACCACTGTCATTAAGTGAATCATGTGGCCATTAGGGGAATCTGGCTTTGCCCATTGACTTTATTTATTGGAAGCCAGCTGGGAAAGTTGCAAGTGACAATCATGTGACCCCAGAATGATGCAGCTGTCATAAATGCATGCCGGTTGCCAAGTGGCTGAATTTTGATCACATGACCCAGGGACACTGCAATAATTGTAAATGGGAGGACAAGTCATAAGTCACTTTTTTTCAGTGCCATCATAACCCATAATGGCCACTAAATGAATGGTCATTAGTCGAGAACTGACTGTATGTATATATAAATGGGAAACACTGAGACAAAGTTAAAGCCTAGGCAGTTTCAAGCACATTGCACATATGACCAAATTATTAACTGTACCCTAAATTTTAATGAGATCTGACTTTGATTAATAGATATTCTCCTTTTTGCCTTGCTTGCAGTTTTAATTAGTCTTTTTAAAATTAAACTTATTAATGAAACAAAAAGATTGAATCCCTTTAAACTGAGCTCCCTGCCTGAATTCTTGCCATGTATTTCTGCTTTTATCATGATCCTGTATGACACCTTTAAAAATGAACTAATTATCATCTAAGCTTTTTTTTTACTAATATTGATTTGAATTTATGTATTTTATTTTTAAGACTCTCCAACAACTCGGAAAACGCGTAAGAGAATGAGCGTTCTGCTAATTGAAGCTTTTTATGGAGGTTCACATAAGCAGCTCATGGACCTTCTTCAAGAAGAAATAGGAGAATGCGTCCTTTTTACTCTTCCAGCGAAGAAATGGCATTGGAGGGCAAGGACTGCAGCTGTGTACTTTATGCAGAATGTACCAGCCAGTGCTGATTACAGGTAAAGAGAGCTATGAACACCTTACCAATGCTAAATGTAGAGTTTCAGATTGAGGCGTAACACAATTCAGTAGTTTCTGAGGTCACCTAGAGACAGTATCCTGGCTAAAAGATTGAAATGCCCAGTAGTTCCAAGAATGTCTTCAATTCAGTGTTCAGATATCTGATTGAAGAACATTTCACAGTAGGGTTGTGGATAAAATACAAAAACTTTTGAGCCGAGATGACTGATGGTTTTGATCTTAGGGCAGGGGTGGGAACCATGGCCCTTTTATGACTTGTGGACTTCAGCTCCCAGAATTCCTAAGCCAGCCATGGGCTTAGTAACAGATTTGTTTTTTCCAAGCCGTGGAATTCCATTTAGTCTTCAACATCTACCTTGCCATCAAAGAAATCACTTTTCTCTGAGACATAACAAGCAGTATAAGGTCAGGCAATATATCGAGAGAACCAAAAGGGAGGATTCCCATATGCCAGTAAAACATGTTTTATTGTTGACCCAATGCATTTTGAAGTTAATCTTTTATCAAGGGCATAGTGTTTGCACTGGTCAATTTTAATTAAATGAAATGCCTTTCTAGAAATAGAAAGATTTTGCTATCCTGCAAAGGCTGTGAAGAGAAGACAGGAGGGACACTAGATCGAGGTCCATCCATCCAAAATAGTGTCTCCCATGACCCTGCTAAATATATTGGTGTTAGGATACACAGATGGACCTCTAAAGATAATCTTTATAGATAAGTTAGCTCACTTTCTAACAATGAAGACTTAAAGACTTCTATCAAAAGAGGTCAGAAAGCAAAAGGAAATGTGATGGAGTTCCTTCTAACCAACCAGATTCCACCTACCAATTCTATTTGGAACATAACATTGGGTCTAAAGCCAGATTAGAATAGATTTGAAGTATCCCTATCCCTCAAAAAACCTCTGTTTGGCTTTTATGTTCAAACAACCTGCCCCAGTAAAATCTTAATACTATGTTAGCTCAAAACAATTCAGTGTTAATGAACTCAGGGCTAAGATAAAACAATCTATTAGTCTATTACTTGAATTGGGAAGGTAGAGTTCTAAAATGGCGGCGCCTGGATCGGCTGCGGCTGCATTGGCTCTTGAAGGTGAAAAGTTTGCGGAGGGATATAAGGAATATAGGCCACATGATCGGAAAGGTTTTAATGTGTTTGAGCAACATGGTGGAACTAAGGTAACATACGACCAACAATCTTTGCTGGCATGGCGAGTTTCTAGCTGTTTCGGAATTGTTGGTGAGACTGTCAAAAGTCATTGGTTCTGTTTGAAATTGTTCTGCCAGCAGCAGGGTCTGACTGCTGGTCCAGCGACAGATTCTACTGCAAATCAGGGCTGTTTCCAAAGGAGGCGGAGCAGGAGAGGTCCCGGGGCTTATGGAGCGAAGGAACTGGATGAGGCTGTCGGCAGGCCCAGAGGAAGGGAGAGAGGCTTTTGGAGGAGTTGGTGGTGGCGGCAGCATGCTCCAGGGGCAAAAAGAAGCAAGGCCTCTTTAAGGAAAAGGTGGAAGAGACAGGATCAGAAAAAGGGAAGGAGGCGAGGTTGTGCAGGAATACAAGCTAATTTGAGGGCTAATCCACATGGAGCTCTGATTCCATCTGTCCTGTTTGCCATCATTCGCTCCCTAGAGACTAAAATGGATGATCTGAAACTTGAGCTGGCCACGAACAAGGAGTGTATATTGGAGGTGGTGATCTTTTGAGAGCTGTATGCAATGAAATTTCATTTTGATGTATGCTGATTGGTATATATTCAAAGTGACAATAAAGTTGTTGTTGTTGAGCTTCTCATATTAGGCAGAATTAGATAGTAGTTTTCAGATAGCAGATACTGGATCAAAATGAGTGTAGTAGCAAAACATTTGGAGGACAAAGTTATATCTGCCATGCTGCTTAATTGGTTCTGCCTAAAGTAATGCGTTGCCCTTGTGGTGGAAGAAGCTGTCTCTGTGCTGATGTTGAATGAAATTAATCTATTAAGTGTGATCAGCTACTCTACATTTAGTCCTTCTCAAGCAGCAAAATTCCATCGGCTGGTGCTGTGGATAATTCTTTGTGCTTTTCATGTACGTTGCTTGGAAGATTTGAGACCCAGGAAATAGACTCATTTTATCACAGAATTTTGGCTTTTGCCTCTACTGAGTTCAATTTAGCTTGAAGAGTTATCATTTTCGACTCTTCCTTTAAATAACCAGGCCTACCTATGTATGTATTGCGGTGGTTCTCAACCTGTGGGTCAGGACCCTATTTGGGGTTGAACGACCATTTCATGGGGGTCGCCAAACAACGCAGTCCGCCATTTTTTCCCTCTTTTCCTTAGCTGTGCTACTCCCTTTTATTCTATTGGCTTTTGAAAGCCAATAGAATAGACTCTCTTGAATAGAGTCTAATTCTATTGGCTTTCAAAAGCCAATAGGAATTGTCCAGGCTGAGCCCGCCAAAAGTCCCATTCTGCAAATAGTGCTGCACCAGTTGAGTAGTCCTTGACTTACGACCGGTTGAGTAGTCCTCGACTTACGACCGGTTGGAGGTCGCGGCATTAAAAAGGTTGAGAACCACTGATGTATTGATTTTTGAAATTTATTTATTAGAACATACTTTACATAGTTTTCAGATGAAGACTCCCATATTTGTTTCCTAGCTTTATAGTTGCAGCATGGAAAGACGTGACACAAAAAGAATAATAAATTGGGAAGTAGAAGGAAAACTCAGATGCTAAGTTATTGTAAGTTATAATTTATTCCTTTTGTATCCCTTCCCTTGCATGAAACAGTCCAATGGGCGAGGTTATTTTATTTTCCCCTAAATCTAGGAAACAACATGCTTTGCAAAACAGGACTATCTGTTGCAAAGTTGAATTATGTCTCTTCAGTTCATGCAAAGTTCCACTATTATCTTTCTAAGTCAATGCTGAATTTTGTTCCTCTTACAGGATGCATGCAACGACAACAATAAATGTTATTGATTAGTTGCTGACCATATGAAAAACCTATAAAACCAATACAGAGAAAATAACACCACATATTCACAATAAATTGTCATCCTGTCCCTTATAGTTAGCATACAAAGAAAGAAAGCAAAGCAGAAAGTCATATTCTCCAGTACAGGAGATGGAGAATCCACCAATGGGTTTTCACTGTCTGCCTGCTCTTGAGACCAAGTAACCAAACTTGACATGCCCCCTCTTGCTAGGAGATCCAGTCTTGACTTGGTCTCAAGCTCTTGAAGATGTATCAAGGTTGGCTCTCAGATTTAGAGATCTTCAATTCAATTAGCAGGTCAGATACCATTGTTGGATTCTCCTTGCCTTTAAAATTTATATTCCCTAATTAGTGATTCTCTCGCAAAAGCAGGTTAATTTCCCCAAAAAATTTTCCCTAAGATTCTGGACTCAGCGCAGCCTCTGAAAGAATTTGCCACGGCCACCATTTTGGGCGCGCTACATGGTCAGCCTTGCAGTTCCATTAGCCAAATAATTAACTGAAGGCCTCAACACATTACAGGGCGTTTCCATCAGACCTTCAGGCCATTAATTTCAGCACAGCTGAGAAACCATTCTAGCCCTGCACAGCGACTACCATTAGGCCTTATCAACTGTAACATTCTTTACAGCCAATAATTAACTGACTAGGCCCAATTATCAGGCCACCATATTGTTTTAAAGCCACCATTTTAAATTCACATTGCCTCTGCCAGGCCTCATCTCAGGCCTTCTGCGCCCTTCATTCGGGCCTTTTTTTGGTGCACCTTGACTTGCCACCTAAGGCCTCTGGGCAGAGCCCAGAGAGTGGCCCCAAATGTGCCTTCGGCATCTGACTCAATTGCCGTGACCGAAGCCCAGAGATAATTTTTTGCTGGTCAGGTGGTCAGGGGAACAGTCTTGTTACTTGTTCCAATCTCGCTCCCGCCAACGGCTTGCCTGCCAGAGCTTTGTCTCAGATTCCCTGAGACTGCTCAACTAGGATGGAAGACTCCATGTTGTCTCACCCCGTAGGCACTGTCTCTCCATCCAGTTACGGCTGCCACAAATCCTCTGAACAGGAGGCGGCAGGCAAGCCCAAATCTAAGGACAACACGACATTCAAGAAGCCTTCCAGGTTGGTGGAAAAGCAAGCCAGCCATAGGCACCACGCTCTGGAGAAGGAGTTCTCCAGAGCGCAGAGATAGACCAGATTGGAGAAGGATCAATTGGTAGCCTCGGAATTTGACCTTCCTTTAAGTCTTTCAACCTCATCCCAGGGCGTGTGGTCTCTCGCAGGGATACCCACGACACTTAGTTCCCCACCTGAAGTGACACAACACACAACTACCATCTCGGGTTCAGCTCCCGGAGCCACCTTCACAACGGCCGCAGGCCTCAGGGGAGCAGACATAGGAGACATTTTCTCTGACGGCTGCCTTGAGGCCTTGCTATCCAGGGTTGTGGACCGTGCTCTAGCAGAACGGTCCTTCCATCTATCCGGGCAGGGGTCTTCTTCATTGGGCATGCACCTTATGTCCCTCCTATGGAGTTTCCTATACTTCAGGAATCCACATCTCATGCAGATAAGGGTAGAACGTGATAGAAACTGTAAAAAAGATCATTGTGTTGATGGAGGGAGGGATACAAAGGAACCAGGCATACATATTCAAAAAAGGAGGGCACACAAGGGCTTGTATGAGGAGGAAGGAGATATTCAAAGGATTCAATCTGACGTGGAGTCCGAGAACATTGATAATGGGGTGAAAGAGCAAGTAGATGTCAGACAGAATGGCAACGACAGAAACGGAGTTTATGCAGCCAAAGAGAGGGAAATGGAAAGCAAGGGATGGGAAGAAAGGCTGAGAGCACGCCCCCATAGAATGAGGGATGACAATTCGGGAGCAAGTAAAGATCAGAAGAAGGAGGAAGGTAGGAGACATGGGGGTGTGAAGAGGGAACAACTTAGAGATAGGAACGACCAAAAAAGGGGAGGAAAGAACCTTCCTAATTCAAGAC